TACCAGCTTTTTCCCCATCTTCAATGTCATCTGGATGGTCAGGACTTTCAAACCCGGGACAACATCAAAATGGCACTGAAGCAGTTCTCTAAGAGCCAGCTCAAAGCGTTCTAAAGCAAGGGCATCTACGATCTGCCCAAACATTGGCAGAAGACCATCGATGCCAATGAGGCATATTTCAAATGATTCGCTATTGTCGTTTAAAAACTGTAAGATAAACTTTATCATTGCCAATTTGTCCGAGGACTTATGACTCAACCTAATACGAAAAGGCCACATATTCATCCTAGTTGGATAGCATAATCTGGATGCTTTTGGATGGAATTGATTTCGGATACCATCTCTTTCCACTTTCATGCCAGACTGTGAACCTGCCATGTCTTTCCTCCCACTAAGAAGTAGGTGCAGATTTTTCCTTGTCGTTTCGCGTACTTAACTCCCTGACAACCTATCATGGATGGTTGGGTTTCCAAGGTCTGACATGTATCCCCATTCGGCTAGGATTTGCATTCTTCTATTAAGGTAGGGCCGGGTACAGCTCAAGTTCTGTGTGTTTGGGTAACTTGTAACATCCCTACTCAATCCAACTCGGCTGCACATTTTTATTTTTCGCACGCTACTTACGCTCCACAGATTCAGTCTAGTTCAACCTACCATCAGCGTTCCCATCTCAACGCCTGTATTCCTTCCAAACTCAAAGTTTATGAATTTACGGTCAAACACTCATACCGCTCATTCACACTTCACCGGGAAATGTACCCCCATAACACTCGAACGGGTCCACCGGAACAACAGTTACGAATTTCCTGTCAAACACATACATGCCAACATACCAAAACACACACAACGACACACACACATCAACACCTACTCTATACACAAATATACGCAAACACACAAACGTTAACACGCAGTCGAACCAATAGGCACTTGGCGCGTCATATAAAATAAGATATCTTTCTCCGTAAATGGTCTAACCAAAGCATCATATTCACGTCAGTCTCCTTAACAGCTATTTTCTCGAAAAGCTACTCTCTTTCAGTAATTGCCGTTTTTCAATGACTGATCATTTGCTCGGCTTAGCTTTGTGACGACCAATGGTGAGTTGTAGGGTCTACATGAGGATTGAAATTTCATCTCAAAAAATAATTGAGATGTCATGCAGTGCTCTATCACCAACAGATTCGCTTGTCATCGTACTTGTTTTGCAGTCGCCGTGTATTTTGAAGTTGATGGCTTTGCTTGCTGTCTCACCTTGTGGTAGCAGACTGAAAGCAATACCCGTCCTGGCTACGCATATGACGTTTCTTCCTATTCCTAGAACAGCGTAGTACAGAGCTGTATATGACAACGTTTCTCCCACTCCACCCACGCCATTAAAGAGGAAATGTGTTCCGACCCTATCTGGATCAATTGTTTGCAATATGTCGTCGGCTGCTTTAATTTCACGGGCATCAAAGTTATCGAGCGATTGTTTCCTCAGTGCTCTCCCTTTCGAGTACTCATTTTCTGTCTTATAATACTCATATATGTATATATCCTGCCAAATGATCTGCCAAAGGAGTAACGAAATAGCTTAAAATTGCCTCCACATATCCACGTTTTGACCAGAAGGTCGTAGTATGCCCGGCTTATTGCTTCTTCATCACTCAAGCCACTGCATGTGATCCTTTGCCATGGCCGACTGAAACTTCCCCTACAGCCGCTATCGCTCCATAACGTCACAAAAGTGTACCTATAGGTCTGTTAAAAAATCTCGGAGCGTTCGGAACTGTTGCTTCTTTCAGACAAATCTTATAGTAGGTGTCATCACGCGTAAGACCAAGAGCATCTGCCGCTTTCTTGAAACTGTTACAAATAATACCATTGGCAGAATTCAGATCATTAAATGACTTGGCGCCTCAGGAGAAAGCTGTACCGCTCTACGTCGGGTGGGTTTGCTATGTAGATTCTTCCTATTTGGTGACATTTTTTTCCTTCTGGTGTTCCACTTCTTGTTGACTTTTTTTTCCTTCTGGTGTTCCACTTCTTGTCTGCTGATTAAACGTGAAGTTTCGATGTTTACTTTTTTAAGCTGTAGAACCGAAATTGTAACAACGCTTTATTAATCTGACCTTTCGGTGCCTTCAGCTCCTCGGAGCCCCGGAAGACGAAACCATTTCGAGGAACCCATCGTCCAAGCACTAATTCAATCTACTTAGAAAGTTCAAAGGGCGTGGACTACGAAGTCAGAAGTTGTTAACTAACCTCCGAGATAGTCGACCTTTGAGGTCCACTGATCACCCTAAATTAGTATGACCGCGGTTTAAATGGGGTGAGCCTCAGATCAACTTGCTTCAGAGGTGCTCCGACGGATCGGTGGTAGGATACTCGACAGGATATTTATTTCAATATTTATTGGGTTAACAAGTCGTGAATACAACTCGTACCATTACAGAGTCAGACAGTCTAAGGAATGTGCGACCTCGTTCGTCTTGTTTTAGGGTGGATACGACAGGAGACAAGTTGGAGCGCTCGGTTTATCTCCTTCGAATTGTTGCACCGCACCGCTCTTGTTCATCGTTCATTGGGAACGATTGTCTGTCTTCATTGTAGTTGGGTTATTGGAGAGCGGAGGGCGAGGAATTTGGAGTTGAGAGGAGTGCATACTGGCTCCTGTGGGCGGCATATTTGTTCTTTGGTGTGGGAACCTACGAATTTCCAGCATTTTTGCACTTTGGTGTGGAAACAAGCAAAGTTTCCTTTTTTGAAACCTCGCTGGAAGTAATGATTGAATAATGGTGTTCATGTGCTTCCTCGTAATCATGACGAAGAGTCATGACAAGGGGTCTCTAAGGGGCTGACCCCGTAGATCAAGCCCCCTCAAAGGCCACACAATTTCGAGCGCGCCACTAACCACTTCCCAATCAACTCCTATCGATAGCTGTATAAGCCTCCTGACCCCGCCCCGCCAAGAGGACCTCTCGGGAAATCGACAGCATAGGGTAAAAGCTGCATAATGCTGCAAAGGGCACCAGCTTTGTGGTAACCGCCACAAATTCCTCCCTCCGGTCAATTTTAGGGGCCTTAGCCATGATCTACAAGAACTGTACCATCATGACACTCCACACGGCGAAGAAGTCATGGAAACGCGCAGATTTTGCCGTTTGCATCCTCCCCGCCACCTTTGGATTAGGTGATCGTTTTATTTTCGGAAACAAGGTTGCGTTTGCAATCATATACTACACAGAATTAAGTAAAACATGCGTACAACAGAGACACAGGAATCGATACTATACACAAAGGTGAGTTAGTAAGCGATGTATTATAGTCCATTCAAGCGCCCATTGTGGTCGTGAAGTCGATGTTGTCTTAGCCGCTGGTAGGTGCTACGTCGTGATGGTTGAGGTGTGGCTTGTGTCGTGATGTCGTTCGATGATGAGAGATACTAGTGTTTCAGTAGTCGTGACGATGCGATCAGCCGTAGAGGAAGGCGAAGTAGGAAGAAGGTAAATGATATCGCTAGTTTGAGAAAGTTATAGATGAGGAGTAGTATTCTCAAGGGTGGGAATGATGTGGCTAGAATATAGCAGAGAAATTTTTCCTTGTTCTTGCGTTGCCTTTCCATGATACCTTCTGAACTGGATTTCTTTTCTGTGTTTGCTATTTTATCCCTTGTACTGTTTTGTTTTTTCTTTTCTTCCTCCTTTTTTCCTTTTGTTCTTTTTTGTGTCAGCTTATGTTGTGTTGGACACTCACCCAACTATCCACATTTATATGACTGAATTCATGTTACTTCATCCATTTTGATGGAAGCTTTCATCTTCTTCTCTTCCGTTCTAGCGTTGTTCTCCCATCTATCGTCTTCCGTCCAATAATGTCAGCGCATAAACGGAGAACTCGAGTTGCGTACACTTCCGGTCCAGCTCGTGTTGTCTTTGAATGAGCGAATGTAGCGTGTCGATGAGTAAATATACTGGTATGTGCGTGTGAGATGTTATAAGCTGATAAGCGGGTTTCTCAAGCTCGCTTGTTCATGTTGACATTCTTCTTGTAAGCGTACTCTGACCCTGACCATTGCATTTTTTTGCAACGGTTTTGTTTTGATTGGATGTTTTCTCTCGTGCCATGCGCTCTAACGTGTAAATTCTTAACGATGATGTTTACTTTCTTTTATCTTTACGTTTATTATGATTTCGTTTGTAATGGTAAGTTGTAGACCTCTTGTGTTTTAATTATTTATTTTTTTCTTTTTTTTGTGATGTG